TATACAGTCGACCCCCCTATAAGATCATTGATTTTTCCGTTTTATCTGAATTACATGTTGTACGAGTCACTTAGATTTTACAAATATGTGAGCCGTTCACAGCCCGGCACACGTATTTGTAAAATCTAAGTGACTCGTACAACATGTAATTCAGATAAAACGGAAAAATCAATGATCTTATAGGGGGATCGACTGTAATAAAAAGCATGATAGTAGTATACATGAAAAATTAAAATAAACAGCAAAAACATTTTAACAATAGCAAAAACATGCTATTTAAACTGAGCTTAGGTAGCATCACTGAAAATACCAGCAACGTAAATTTGTGTTTAGGAATATACAAGGAATTGTTAGTGAATACCAACAAAATAAATCCTACGATGAAAGAAAATATAACGATACTGTAGTGATCCACCAAATGTATATATATTTTGTCTTTAGTATTAAACTTAATATTAAGTTTCCTAAGTCTTTTGTCTATGAACTTTCTTAAACTTTCTAACGGTTTTCCTCCCTGCTGGTGGTAAAAACGTTTCTGAGAAATACAACAGAAAACAAGGGTGTGGAAGAGACCCCGAGGCAAGTCAGAGAGAAAAAGAGAGGCATTCTGAAGCTAGCGTTCGAAGGAGGCAGACAGGTAGAGAAGGAAGTCCTGGTCGTCGAAACCGGAGAGAACTGAATGATCTGAGAACATTGAGAGAGAGAAATAACGGAAGAGACGAAAGGAAGGAAAATCAGCAAAAGTCTTTACCTGGATACTAGCAAAGTATAAAGGAAGGAAGGAAATACGGGTACCCCACCAGCAACTTTGTCTTGTTCTTATTAATCTAAAATCTTAATTTTAACTCTTTCATTCTATATTTCTTCATTAGTATATAAGTTAGGTTAAGGTAGGTTAAGAAAANTACAACAGAATCAATTATTCAATGTAGATCTAGTCATCAACTATCACAAATATCAACATTTAACAAAAACCAAGCTTTCAAACCTGTTTGATGTTTTTTTAAGATAACTTGAGCATCACCATGTACTGTACATTAGCTGGTTCAAAATAATATATGTGCAAATTATGTTTATTTTCCAAACACATACTATATATGTACTGTACAATTCAAAAAAGATACACATTGTTCTGAGTTTGAGAAACCTGTTTTTAAGTGCACATTGAACTATGGTGGAAAAAAATCCATTAGCTACATTACTGAACATAAAATGTGCACTAGCTCTAATGAAGCAACATTTGTTAAACAAAATATCAGCACAGATTATATGCAGTCTAACATTGGTATTTACTGAACAAATATTGAGTTTACTGAACTATGCTGCATACGAATTTTCTATTTGTACATATTCTTGAGACAATGTTGAATTACATATCTTTTAAGAGTATTTATGAGAAGAAATTGTACATTTTTAAAAATTTTTTTGTCTTTACATGATTATTTTTTACATTTTTACCTTTAATGTTACACCTATTTTTTCCTACTTTTTTAAGTTACTTGTTGTTGCTTGTTTTATTGTTAATTTTATTCAGAGGTATTGTTTGGGGGTGATAATTACTTGTTCTCCTAGTGCATTACCACATGTAAACTTAAAGAATGAAGAAACTGCTTCATCTGTTAGGATTAAATTGTTGATGTCTTTTGTCCCCACAAGACAATGTTCTGAAGAAATCTTTTTTGGACTGTTTCAAATATGTATGTGATGTGTAATTGTTTACAATTGTGCACTTTATGCATAGATGATGATAGCAGAATATGGAGATTCACAACTTCAGATATAATCTTAGATATTGTTAAATAAACAACTTTTAATAACAAAAACTCCTCAAAAAACAATATCTGTAAATCTTTACTGTATTTTAACCCGTTACAGACAAAGACATTTTTGATATTAATGTAATTAAACATAAAAAATACTTAAAACTGAAAAAACGAAAGAAATGCGTTAATTTTGAAGAAAAAGCTTCAAATTTTATTTTCCTTTGTCTTGTCTTTCTGTGAAATTTGACACTGACAACTCATTTTTACATGGCTGGATGACCTTGAGAACAGCTGGTGTCCTATTTCCAGGGACATTCTCATAGATGTCTCAGGAGGAGAAAGGTTTAAAGTAGGGTGAATACTAACTAGACCTATATTTTTAAATATTTTTTAAAAATTAAAATTTTTATTGTAATTTCTGACCCCCCGACTTAATTAAACTTATATATAATAAAATCTATTAATTAAAAAAATTAAAAACTATCGGAGGTCGTTTTTGACATCAAAAACTAGCTTTAAATAACTTTACTGAAGGAAAATCCGTGCACTACAACTTTAGAACAATGAATGAAATTTGATATCAAACTCCCATTAAAAAACTATTAAAAAGCAATTATTAATTAAAGAACATTTCAATCATCCTCTAAAATAGAATCTTGTAATTGTGATGAGTCAGTTCTTTCTTAATTACTTATTTGCAGGCTTCCTTTTCTTCTTAAATGGCTAATACTAATCTTTTATTATATTGTATTTTATCTTCTCTTCTTCTGCTCTGATTCAAGGTTAAGATTTTAATTTCTTTGTCTTTTCTCAGACTACCTAATGCTATCCTCTGGGCCTGCACATACCTGAAGGGAGTTACTGTAAATGTGTTGTCATCATAAAATAACTTTTTACAAAGTAGAAACATAAAATACAAAATTGTAATACTATTTACAAATATATATATGTATATCTATCATGAGTAATGGTATTGTAGATAACACATTTGTATTTTGAGTTCATTCTGTTCAAAAATATGAAAAGTCTTTGAAGATGGTTGAAGACTTTTGTTTTTTGTAAATCTGTTGGATTTAAAGGTTTTGATTCTTTAATTACATATTATTTAATCATCATATTTTAAAATAAAATTCAAAACAGATAAAATTTCAGTACTTAATATTGTTTTAAATTACAAAAACTTCTACTGTTGAGAACAGATTTTCTTTTTTGATGTCAATTCCTTGAGTGTAACAAACAGAATTGCATAATTTTGAGAACAGTACAAAACAGACACAAATTGTATAAAATAATAGAAGACAAAAGACATTGCACAAAAGTATTTAATATGTTAGCAAAATTATTATATATAATAAATTTAATTATAACATCAACTATTTTTAAATCATTAAATTCATAATTATTATTAGAGTTCAAAATATTATTATAGAAAAATCTGCAAAAGAATGGAATTGATTTAATTTTTAATACCATTACACGCAAATATTTACGACATTTGTAGGGAATATCTAAATCAGACAGGAACTTTCATTTGTTTTTTTTTTTTTTTACTTTGATAATAGTAATAGATACATTTAATTTTGTTCAAAAAATAAAACAAAAAGATTAGCATAAATCTTTAGAAAAATATACCTACCTAAAAATATACACATCATATTTTCCAGCAGATTTTCCTGTTCTTCTTTGCACTACCTTCCTAGTCCAACCATCTGGAAGAGATGGATCTTCTAATAATGGAAAACCAGTATCTACCTGTAATTAAAAAGATGTCATAAAGCTAGAGTAAATGGATGGCAACTAATATGAAACAGTTTTTATTTTTTAATTGTAATTACATTCTTCTACATAAATGTTTAAGTTAGTGAAGGATAATTTAATGCATATGTTCTCTAATATAATTTTAGATAAATAATATTCAAACTTTTTAAAAATGCATTAAGATCTTTGGTGTTAGAATATTATACAATGGGAAAAATATGCAGATTAAGTATAAATTACAATTATAACATCTGAATTAGTTCTTCTTACAAATAAAGTTTTATTAAATTTCTTTGTAATATGAAGTTGTATTAAATGTTAAGATTTTGTCAAACATTTTAAAAATATGAATTATTAGTTATATTTTTAGAATTTTTTAAAAATTGCTATAAACTTAATTAGAAAATAATTGCTTGTATTTTATTTAGAGCAAAAACGTCTCTTAAATTTAATTGTTGTTTAAGTCCATTATAGATTTAGAAACAGTCTTAATGTCATATATAAATTAAATTATTTTTATATAATTTATTACATTCCATATTGCTTGTAAAAAAACACACACAAAAAAAAATTATTATTTGGTTTCATCAACTTGATCCATATTTGTTTTTGGAATTCAAGTAAAAAACTATTAATAACCATTTCCATTAGATTTGGAAAATTTATATTTGTTTAAAATAGCTTCTACCTGATAAATCAAAAGTAATGAAAAGTAATATAAATAAAATAAACCTTTAACTATCCAGCAATAAAAATGTTTAATAAAAACATTTTCAATTGTTTTTAAACAGCCATCTTCAGTTGAACCAATATTAAAACGGACTTATTATGAAGCTTCTAAATCAGAATCAGCAGCATCCCAAAAAAATGACCCAGGAACGAAGAGTAGTTCTTAATTATTTTCCTTTTTAAACAAAATGATTAGGAGAGTGGCGAACAGTAATAATCTACAAACAGTATATCGGTGTAATCCGACGATCTACAGAATGTTAAGAAATGATAAGAGAAAGGAAAAGCAAAATAATTTACCAGGAGTTTATTCTATACCTATAAAGGATCAGCGGTTCAACTCAGACCTTGTTTACATGGGTGCTACTATGCGGCAGTTAAAACAAAGACTTAAGGAACATAAATACTCTGTGAGTAAGAACATATATGCCACAGTGCTCACAGCATTTGCCAAACAGCAAGAGGTCGAGATATATTGGGATCAAGCCTCGATCATTAGAGCCGCGAATTCCAGACAGGCATTGAAACACCTTGAAAAGATAGAGATACACAAGGCACACATAAATAAGGGATGCATTAATCATAGAGATGCAGAAGGGTTATCTTATGCCTGGAAATTCTTTTACAATAACGCAAATTAACACCTTGTAATCAACGTATATTCTCCCCCCTTTTTTTGGCGGCTTTATTATTTTTATGTTATTTGCAAATTATTTATAGATTTTCAGAAGACGCAAGTCCGATGAATTACGCATGCGCATTCAGTTTCTGTTTAATTTGTATTTCATGTGTTCTTTTTTAGTGTTCTTTTTTAATATTGGTTCAACTGAAGATGGCCGTTTAAAAACGGTTGAAAACACTTTTATTAAACATTTTTTATTGCTGGATAGTTAAAGGTTTATTTTATTTATATTACTTTTCATTCCAGTATAAGTTCTTGTTTTTATTTATTTATTTAGTAATGAAAAGACAAAAGAATTCATATTCTTTTATATTTGTTTCTTCTTTCAGCTAAATTTTATAAACCTAGCATCAAGTTGCAATTCAAAAGATCAGAGGACTTGTTTAAATTTATTAGTAATAAATTCAGTTATAATAAACAACAAAATAGTCATTAAAATTCATAAATAAGTACATTTATTATGTTTAACATAAATTTTTATGACACATAAAAGCATTCATTATCTGTTACTGTTATCAACTCTCAGAAGTTTCTGATAAATCTCAGATTTCACTACATTATGTACATTGAACATTCCTAATGTCATTAATTACAGAAGTGTTCAACCATTCTACTGCAGTTATTGGAAATCTGGAAAATCAATTAAGGCTGTTAAGTATAAAATAAACTGCATTTAACTAATTCTGTTGACTTAGCTCTTTTGCAATATGTTCAAAATATTTATTCAAATATTCCTTAAATTATGCAGTATTATTTGTTTTACATGAGGGGTTGCATGTCAGCAATTACATTCCTTGTAAAATTAAATTTTGCATAAATTTATGCTCTATTCTAAATGGTCTCAGATGATTGCTTATTCACTTATGCAACCATTTACAATTAGCAGAAAAATGTTAAAATGCATTTGACACAATCATCCCATTATAGATTCTTTATGTAGTGTCAAAAAGTTTATTTTTATACAACTTACATACAAAATACTTTTCTGTTTTCTTTGTGTCTGCATTAGAATCTTCTATTTTTATTTAATCATGATTATTTTTTTCCTCAAAGATAGGATGTAGAAAATTGTTTTTAATTTTTATACCATTATTTTTGCTCTACAATGAAATTCTTAATAAAAATAATCATCATGTGCATTAACAGTAATAATTACTTTCATGTATTTAAGAGTTAAACTATTTGCCATCCACAAAAATTTACATTTAACAATCCCATATAAAACAAAATCCCAATTTAGTGTGTAATTTATCCACTTAAGAACTATCATTAATAACTGAATGAATGTTAATATTTATGTTCTTTTAAATTGTAACCCACTAAGAGGTTAGTTTATAAAGTAAATCTAAAACATTTTTTCCAACAAACTAATGTGGATTCATGAAAAGTTTATTCATTAGTTTAAATTATCTAATCTAAATAGCTTATAAAAACACAAACCTCTGAACCATATAAATGAAATTCCATCATAGTCTAATGCAGATAAAATACAAATGCTTTCAAACATTAATCTGAAGATGATCTCTCCTATGTAGATTGAAAGTGTCTGTATTTTATCTGCATTAGACTATGCTGGAATTTCATTTATATAGTTCAGAGGTTTGCATTTTTTATGACCTACTTTATTCCAGTCTTACAGTGTTTGAAGTAAATAGTTTAATTAAATGAAAATAACAGATTTATGTAAATAAAGATAGAAAGATAGAAAGAAAATAACAGATTTATATTATATCTGAAGCATAAATGCATGAAATCTGTGGGTAAATTATTAACAGACTTATATTTAAAATGACATATTTAGAAAAAAAAAATGTCAAAAAAATCTAGCTAGAAACAGTCTTAATGTCATATATAAATTAAATTATTTTTATATAATTTATTACATTCCATATTGCTTGTAAAAAAACACACACAAAAAAAAATTATTATTTGGTTTCATCAACTTGATCCATATTTGTTTTTGGAATTCAAGTAAAAAACTATTAATAACCATTTCCATTAGATTTGGAAAATTTATATTTGTTTAAAATAGCTTCTACCTGATAAATCAAAAGTAATGAAAAGTAATATAAATAAAATAAACCTTTAACTATCCAGCAATAAAAATGTTTAATAAAAACATTTTCAATTGTTTTTAAACAGCCATCTTCAGTTGAACCAATATTAAAACGGACTTATTATGAAGCTTCTAAATCAGAATCAGCAGCATCCCAAAAAAATGACCCAGGAACGAAGAGTAGTTCTTAATTATTTTCCTTTTTAAACAAAATGATTAGGAGAGTGGCGAACAGTAATAATCTACAAACAGTATATCGGTGTAATCCGACGATCTACAGAATGTTAAGAAATGATAAGAGAAAGGAAAAGCAAAATAATTTACCAGGAGTTTATTCTATACCTATAAAGGATCAGCGGTTCAACTCAGACCTTGTTTACATGGGTGCTACTATGCGGCAGTTAAAACAAAGACTTAAGGAACATAAATACTCTGTGAGTAAGAACATATATGCCACAGTGCTCACAGCATTTGCCAAACAGCAAGAGGTCGAGATATATTGGGATCAAGCCTCGATCATTAGAGCCGCGAATTCCAGACAGGCATTGAAACACCTTGAAAAGATAGAGATACACAAGGCACACATAAATAAGGGATGCATTAATCATAGAGATGCAGAAGGGTTATCTTATGCCTGGAAATTCTTTTACAATAACGCAAATTAACACCTTGTAATCAACGTATATTCTCCCCCCTTTTTTTGGCGGCTTTATTATTTTTATGTTATTTGCAAATTATTTATAGATTTTCAGAAGACGCAAGTCCGATGAATTACGCATGCGCATTCAGTTTCTGTTTAATTTGTATTTCATGTGTTCTTTTTTAGTGTTCTTTTTTAATATTGGTTCAACTGAAGATGGCCGTTTAAAAACGGTTGAAAACACTTTTATTAAACATTTTTTATTGCTGGATAGTTAAAGGTTTATTTTATTTATATTACTTTTCATTCCAGTATAAGTTCTTGTTTTTATTTATTTATTTAGTAATGAAAAGACAAAAGAATTCATATTCTTTTATATTTGTTTCTTCTTTCAGCTAAATTTTATAAACCTAGCATCAAGTTGCAATTCAAAAGATCAGAGGACTTGTTTAAATTTATTAGTAATAAATTCAGTTATAATAAACAACAAAATAGTCATTAAAATTCATAAATAAGTACATTTATTATGTTTAACATAAATTTTTATGACACATAAAAGCATTCATTATCTGTTACTGTTATCAACTCTCAGAAGTTTCTGATAAATCTCAGATTTCACTACATTATGTACATTGAACATTCCTAATGTCATTAATTACAGAAGTGTTCAACCATTCTACTGCAGTTATTGGAAATCTGGAAAATCAATTAAGGCTGTTAAGTATAAAATAAACTGCATTTAACTAATTCTGTTGACTTAGCTCTTTTGCAATATGTTCAAAATATTTATTCAAATATTCCTTAAATTATGCAGTATTATTTGTTTTACATGAGGGGTTGCATGTCAGCAATTACATTCCTTGTAAAATTAAATTTTGCATAAATTT